CATCGTTTGCGAAGGTGTACGGCTGGTCCAAACCCTCCAAGGTGATTCGATCATCGCCTGAGCCGTCCACGGTCATCGCCATCCCGCACTTTTCGAAACGGCGGTGTCGGTACCCCTGATTGCTGTTGAGTTTTGCCATGGCCGCTCCCGTCCATTGAGTGATCAGTACCCGCCGGTCAGATGCTGTCAGCGACGCGGTTTCCCACCTCTCGATTTTGTCCGACTGATCGAGCCACTTGTCCATCTCGTTACCAACTTCCACCTCGAGAAATCGTCCGGCTCCTGCATCAACTGGCTGCACCTCGTCCGTGCACTGCGCAGGGCCAAGCCAGGCGATAGTGTTGCACTGCTTCGCAAGATACCCCTTGAACTCGTCCGTGGTCTGCGCGTGCAAGTTGTCCATTATCAGAATGGACCTCGCCTTGGGGAGCTCACCCCGCCCGCGGATCAGGCCTTCGCGGTACGACCTCTTGGCCCACTCCATGCAGAACTTTTGGTCCGCCCACGCATTCTCCTGGAAAAACACGTCCACGTCCTTGTGGTACGCGGCTTTCTCCACCGGCGAAATCCGCTTCCCCTGGCCTCGGAGAATCACCAAAATCCGCATAGTCTTCTCACCCGGACCAAAGATGACTTGCATGGTGCACTGCCTTTTCTCTAGGCCAGCAAAGGGCTGCGAGATGGCTACACGCAACGCGCCTGTCTTCTCCCACGTGCTGATCAGCCCGTTCACGAATGGCAAAGGCACTTGATCCACATTCCAACGCTCCCAGAGCTGGAACTGACCGTACTTGGGATCTCTGGACTCTCCCTCCGCGACCGTCGACATCGCCGACACGTCCGATGCCTCGGGTGCCCTGTACCGTACCGGCTCTTGCAGGAGCTTGCGAAACCGCCGGTGGAAGCGCTGGATCTTTGGTAGGCGCTCTTCAACAGACTTGTTCTTGAGGTTGCTCCTGCGCCGTTTGGACAGCTTATGCCTCTTTGCCCATTTTCGTGCCCACCTGAAGGACGCGCTGAACGCCGCCGCCCGTTGGTCCTCAGGGTGATTCTCTTGCACGAGCTTCCGGAACGTGACCGTCAGCCACAGGGTCGGCACCTTCAGCTTCCTCCTCCGCCGCGCCAAGAATATATTGCAGAGCTTCTTCTCTTCCTCAGGAAACCACCGCTTTGGCTGCTGTTTGGCAAGGAGGGTCTTCTTCACGTCATCTGCTTCCGATTGGACTATATTGGCCTCGTCCTGAGCCCACTTCACGATCAGGCTGTAGTTAACCTTGAGACGGTCCTCTAAGTACTGGCGAGGCGTGAGCTGCTCCTCCTTGAAGAGGTCTGCGGCGTCTTCCTGGAGGAGGCGCAGCTAGGTCACAACATTGGCTTTGAACCTGAAATCGTATCGCTTGCGCTTCACAGCTCCACGAGTCTCCTTGACTTTGCGGTCCGTAAAGCCGTCGCTTTCCAAGTCGAGATCGCGGAAGCGCTTCCGTTGGAGGACGAACGAAGCCGCCCCCGTCGCACCATCGACCTTCACGTGCCAACAACGTCCAGGCCCGGCTTCTCCCCACGGCTGAACATACCCTTTGGGAGTCTTCCCTAGCATCCGCTGCAGCCGCAAGCCGTTGGACATGTTTGCATTGCTGTGCTTTGTTTTCACGTGGATCCCAAGTCCTTGCTCGTTCACGGAGGTCATGGGACAGTGAGGGCACGGTATGCGCCGCTCCAGGGCCGGAGGTGGGAAGTTGATACCGGACACATGCTCTGTGACACCACCGCGAGTCCGCTCAATCTGCACGGCGCGGTAGGATAAGGGCGGAATCGAGGTGCAGGTGATTCAACGAGCTGTGGACCTGAAATTGCGTGGATGTCGATGGCAAAATATATCTATCTATGCAGATGGGGCAAGGGATGATTACATGACCGTCTCTCGTGTGTTTGTATCACGGTGCAGCAATTTTTTTTTTACAAAATACGGTTGGGACGGCGCTCGTGTACGCGTTCTTTTTCGCCATTGTGTCTACTGTACCGTCCTTGCCTTCCTCAAGAACTTGAGGCAAACGGAGAATGATTGAAAAAGTTGTACACATACATGTACGCCATGCTGAAAGTCAGTCGTTTACACCAACCTGTGACAGAGTAGTTTTTCTCTCGTCGTTTTCATTTCATCACAACCGCGT